TGAAAGTAAGAACCCTCTCGGGATTAATAATTAGCTTGCCGAAGTTTTTTGTTCAACGGAATATGCTCGACACACGTTGATGAAATTATTTCACCCTATGTATGAGATAGTTAAAGGAATAATTGAAATATTGAAAAGAGGATAGATATTTGTTTTTTTAAGAAATCCGACCGCTCAAAGCAACAAATTGCCATATATACACATCTTGATCAATCCGCAATTTTCTCGATTTTTATATACCTATAAAAGAATACGATTCAGAATTGAGTATAAACGTTACCAAACAAATATCCCAATTTTGGCGGGAGTTGGTTGTTTTTCGCTTGATTAGAGGTTTCCATATGTTACGTATCTCTACGCTAGCTTGACTAAATGCGTTGTTGGACAACATATACGCGGCTTCTTTGAATTTTCTCCTAAGCCAGTGTTCCTCTTTGTGGATGGTTTCAGCTAGAGCCCACTTGATGTTGTGTGTGTGTATTTCTTGTGCTCAGCAATACGAACTTTCAATGGCCTCTCAGTTTCACCGATGTATGATCCTCCGCACTCGAAGGGTATCCGGTAAATGCAATTCTTGGAATCGCAGTCCGTGTTTGGTGGCCTGGTTTTCGTGAGGCTGCTACGGATAGTGTTTCCAGATCTGAAGCAGGTCCTAAGGTTATACTTGGACCCAATCCTTCTTATCCTTTCCGATAATCCTCTGATGTAAGGAAGTACAAGTACTGGTTGTGGTGACTTCTCTTCCTCGTTGTCTTCTAGCTAAGGCCTCTCCTACCATCACTCTGGAGTAACCATTCCGTTGAAGGTCATTTTTGATGATGCCTAGTTCCTTTTCGACACCTTCCTTGGTATTACAGAGCCCGAAAGCACGGTCTAGTAGAGTCTTGATGATTCCTCTCTTAGTCGATTGATGGTGGTTGGATTTCTGGTTCAGATATTGTCCTGTGTGAGTGGATTTTCGATATACAGATGTTTTCCATTTAGTGTCGGTCCTCTTCACCAATACGTATAAGGAAGGCAATTCGTTCTGGACTTCCTTCTCCATTGTGGAAGTGATGGAAGGACTTACGTTGTAGATGTGCTTCAGGAAAGTGTCCAGTTCTGCATTCCCATGGTTCCATATTATGAAGGTATCGTCTACGTATCTCAACCATACTCGGGGCTTCTTGTGTGGTTCTTCAATGGCCAAAGTTTCAAACTACTCCGTATGTATATATAACAGGTAAAAGTGGCGATCCCATTGGCAGTCCCTCATCTTGCGTGAAGAATTCGTCATTCAGTTCAGTAGCAGTTTCGTACACAGCATCCTAGTAATTCCATAATTACTTGTATCGGTAAGTTTGTTCTATCTTTCAGGTCCCCATCTCGGATAGCTTCTTCTGTATGATTTGAAGTACTTCTTCGACAGAAACGTTGGTGTAGAGGCTTTCCACGTCGAAACTGATCAGTTGATCCTGCTCTTTGACTTCGATTTTCCCTAGTAGTTCAACGAAATGCCTTGAATTTTTCACAAAAGATGATGTGTTACCTTGCAGTGGTTTGATTATTGGTAGTAAAAATCTGGACAAGTTCTGAGTGGCTGAATCTCTGGAGCTAATGATCGGTCTGAGCGGAACATCCTTTTGTGGATTTTGAGTAGTCCATACAAGTGAGGTGTTAGCGATGATCTCTTTTTTTTGTGAAATATTTCATTTTTTTGGTTGTTGCTTGTATGTTATTTCTTTGTAATTTCAGTTTTTTGTTTAATAAAATTGTTATTTTCGGTTAATCTTTTTAATTTTTTTCAGGGATTTCAAATCAATTTATATTATATTAGACAATGGAAGTCCGAACTGATAAAATACACTATGAAACATTGTCAACCACCTTCAAACAAATCTTTTTTCATCTTTTCTTTATTCTTATTTCAACCAGCCTTTTCAAATTTGAAGGGTGATGCCTTCCGTTATATCGTGTTTTGGAAATGTGAACATATGACTTGGTTTGATTCACACGACTTAGCTATATATTCATACTAGATCACATAAGTTTTCGAACATGCCCTACTTATAACTGAACTTAAAATTTGGAATGTGGCTCATCTCGTGTTTTCAAAGTTTCACAGGCACAAAAACCTGATTATTTTGAAATATATTAAATTAGGTTGGGTAAAGTTAAGTTAAAGTGAGTGGGTACATTCGAACCTCCACCGCAACCCGGAGGGGTTTATTGTGGTTCACACCTATTTATACTCGATCAAATAAACCTAGCTTCTTAACGAAGCCCATTAGTTGGTATGGTGAGTGGTTTATCAGGACAGATGATAAGAGTGCGGCTCTGCCAAACTCTGAAAACCTGATTCGGCCCCAGCGGGGCAGGCACAAAGTATGTGATCTGCTGTTCCATCATTTTCCAAACAGAGGCGAGACAGGCTGTCTTCCAATAGCTCAGGTCTCTGCAGGTCCACTCCTGGAAGATTTTGCCAGAAGTCCATAAATCTTCTCGCCATCCATGTGTTCAATGTTTATTTGGCCTAAAGCGATGCCAATGACAGGTTCTGGTCCAATGAAGCTGCTTGCAGCACCCTTCTTTGCAAGGGAGTCAGCAGCCCCATTGCCTTCCAGGCCAGTATGGCCAGAAATCCAGGTAGAGACAATTTGAGTCTTCTTATTGAGGAGAGTCGTTTTTGGTAATTTGCTACCAATTTAGACGTTGCTCGATAGGAGACAAGAGCTTCCAGCGCCGCTTGACTGTCTGAGAATATTTTTATTGACTCAATAAATCAGATTAGATTTGCAAGTTACTTTTTTGTCTAAAACACCATATCATGTTACAGCTTGAAAATTATTTCGTTGGTAAAGCTGAGTCTAAACAAATGGCAGGTCCGAAGAATACATTGATTAATTGAGCGGTTGTGAAAGTTTATTGACGTTATTCCGTAACTGGAGAGTTTTTTCATGTTATTCTGTAGCTGAAGCACTGAATGAACCACCCTTATTATCATCATAATGTATTGAAATTCGAAAACTTCCTCTTCGATTACTTTTTCAATTTCAACACGAAACCGAGTTACTTGACACCACTTTGCTTGAGGGTAGAAGCATAAGATTATTTTCGTTTTCATTTTAGTTGAGTACAATTTGTTTCAGATTGTATCATATATCAGTTTCTAATTGGAAACAGTAATGTATTTGACACGAAAAAACTCTCTGAGAGTGTAATTAGGATCATGGGTAACTTATTAAACTTATTTTACAGCATCCGTTTATTTGCCCTTAATTTTTTGGCATGCAATAACAATGAGAGAGAAATTAGTAATGAGAGTTCTTTATTATGTACAAGAAACATTTTTTCCAGTATATTTTCATGTTTATATATTCATATATATTCATGTTTATAATTCTGAATCGTAACTTTAAAAATATCAATATTTAATGTAGTGAAACGGTTTTTTTGATGATGTCCTCATAGTGTTTCTATGAGAAAATTTACAGGCGAAAATTGCAAAGGAATTATATCAATATTATACGTTTTCATTTGAAACATTCAACATTTTCATTCATCTGGAATCACAATATAAAGTACTATGGGTATTTTTTCATGTAGTATGTACAAAAACACTTTTTGCATGCGAATAATTACTTATTAATGTATACATATATTTGTTTAACTCAGATTCAATGTATTATAATAAAAAACGAAACTCCCTAACTGTTCTGGACGTTATCTCAAGTGATTCCATCTGGACTTTGATGAAATGCTATCCTTTTGTCTTTCATCCCGCTGGGGACACATGTTTTGAAGAGTAGATGACCATCAGCATCAACCCCCATATGAATAAAGAACTTTAAAACATTCATCATGCATCAGTGGGTCTATTAGATGAAATTTCAAGGGTCACAAATGGCAAGGGTTATAAGGACAGTGTTTTCGACTTCGGGTGAGCAGAACAACGGATTTGGTGAAAGAATAAACCACGCAGAGTACTAGAGTTTTATCTGAACAATCTGATGCCGATATATACAGTGTACGCCAAAATTTCCGGAACGGTCAAAAAAAGACATTGCTTACAAAACTATTTCTTATACATGTCTATTGCTTGTAACCAATCTATTGTTCATATTTCCCAAAAACCAAAAAATTAGTTTTTACAGAAACCGTTGTCATAGGAACTGATGATTTAATGAAACGAAAGGAATAATTTTTTGAAAATTAACAATAGAGTATTACCATATAAATACTATATAATCATACTCATCATTCAACCGATCATTAGCAATGAAATACTTGAGTTTATAGTTCAGTGAATATATAAAAAGGTCCTTCTGATTGACCGATTCATTTCCACCTTGAATATCATGTTAAGAAATGTGAGAAACTTTGAAGTTTCCAAAAGGACCTATTATGAGCCAGTGAAGATGAAATTACACAAAGAATAAGATGCTTCAATTATCGTCACTGACTCACATGATTTACAATGAATGGAAGTAATTATTTTCCCATAAGAAACTTTGGCCAATTCAATAATCTTATCTTGTGTTTCACCTTTTCTATATATGCATATGCATTTATATTTGTTTCTGGCATTTTTCAACAAGAAGAACATAGGTATTGGGCTAATCAAAAATGGAATATCCACAATAACTTTGGATTCAGATATCATATATGTAAAGTTTCTTTTTAAAAGTCGAGAATAATGTACTTATTTCCAATATAATGACTAACGTGACACTGGAGGCTCTTTATAATGATATTTGACATTTTTTGTGAAAAAACAGTATTTTATCAATTCATTTATCAATGGACTGTACTGTTTCTAATGAATACTATTATATGGTGATTCATAAAGTTGTTTTTCAAGAAAGCAAGAAATAGAAAAGCTGTATTTGATTTAAATGAGGCTTTCATGAAACAAACTCAAAAATAAGTAACTCAATACTAAAATTCAAAGAGAGTTCGGATTGAATCACGTCTTGGACTTTGCGTTGCTTATATTTGAACTGAACTTGACTTGTACTCACCGCTATGTGTTGTATTCGATTCAGCATCAGCTACTTCTGTCCTCGATCGTTTACAACTGTTCTCCTCAGATGACATGGTATTGTCCATTTTTTCCTGTTTGATAAGGGGTTTTATATCTTCTTCAGGGCTGGAGCTGGTCAACGGTGAGGATGCCCGCCTCTTGGGTGTTGAAGACGCCGCTCCATCGACGCAGAGGTCTCCTGGTGCTGGTAGCCTCGGGGAGGCCGGCGGAGGTGTATGTACCCTGTTACCCATATTTTTCTTGCCAGAGATTGGCGCCGAAATACTGGGCCTCCTTGTATTAATACTGGATAATGGTAAATTTCCGTCGTCATTATCTCTCTCCCTTTCATTATTCGTGTAACACTGGTTGAAATTTTCTTTGTTGCAGGAACTCACTTTATGCTGTATAAATCGAACTATGTCAGATAGTGCGAATGCTTTTTGGCAGACACCGCAGGTGAGGATGTCTTGATGTGGATCTTCCACTCCATCTGCATCTACTGTAACAAAAATATGGTTTGAAATATAAGATGACAGCATAACAAGTCAAAGGATTTACCTATTGACGATATCTTCACTTAAATACGTCATAATGTCCTTTAGAAGATTTACATTAATGATTTACTGGTTAGATACAATTGAAATAATTAACATAAAATGAGCATTACTCATTGATAGAACCTAGATCAGTCTATCTGATTTGGGTAATTATCAAAAATAAGTTGAGCAATACTACAATTCCAGTATAATGTATCATATATGTATACCGAGTTTTTATATGTAGCATGTGATCATTAAAACGATTTTCGATAGAACGACAAATTTGTCCAATATACTTTTGAACGCCATTTTCTCTCAAAACTTTCACATTTTCCTGTGGTATGACGACAAACTTTTCATCTTTTTTTTTCAGATGAAAAAGCAGATAGTTGCCTGCCCATCTACAGCATAATAGCTGATATCTAAGAGTATAGGAACTAGCGGTATACAGAAAATCTTCTTTTACAAAATATATCTCTTAGATGAACTACTACACAAAGAAAAAAACAATTTTTTTATTTGAATAATATACAATGATGATAAATATTCTTCAATATTTTCCTCTACATGCAAGTAGATACATGTTTCATAAACTTCCTAAAAAGTTCATTAATGCAGATTTCACAAAATGAATAGTTTGAAATGGGGGTTTTGTTGTTAAACAGTCGGCACCCCTCGCACCCGGCACCCGAAAGTTGCTTGGGTTGAAGATTAACGAGGGCTTACTTTTTGAAAGTACGTTTAACATTATTTCACTATTTTGTATGAAATTTTTTACTACATTTCAATAAAAACTCAAGAAAGCAAATCAGATCTAATTTCTTTCATTCAAAACATAAAAATTAAACCGACAAACAAAGTCTTGAGTGAAGGAGAAATATGAATTAGGAAAACTGGCAATTGCTAATCTCGGTAGGGGTCCATTTATAGCGGGGTGAAGGGGTTGGAACATTGCTTGTCGAGTGTCATAACGACACCGGGTCGCGTCAGGGGGTGGGTTGAAGCTTGCAGCTGTTTTCTGGCAATCGATACCTCTGTTGTAAAATATCATAATGAATATGACGAATAAATGGACCATGTGGACATTCACATATCAAATGAATTTGTTTGCTTTCAGTTATGTTTTTTGTAACTAGCTTTCCAGATCTCAAATAGAGGTCTAAGCATGAAACTGAAGGAGAATAAACATTTTAAAAAGAAGAGCAAAACAATTGGAAAGACGAAATTCACATATTAGGAAAGTCATTCATGAGGACGAATAAAATGAACCGCAGAAATAATTGAAATAACTGTTTAGAAACGTCAAAAAGAGTTATCCTAGTACTTTTTGGTGAATTTTTGTTTTTTCAAAAATGAAACGATTCAAAAAGTACGTCGTATGTACTTTGTGCAAGCAGCTGTCAGTTACTGAAATCGCACCTTGGGTCGAAAACTATCAGTGTGAAATTTTCAGTTGAATAAACATTAGTAAAGGTAATTTTGTCCTTTTCAGACTATAAAGTCATTAAAGAATTTGAGAGAATATTCAGTTTAACTAAGTCTTTCAATTTGCGATGTAGTGATAAGGAAATCCTTTTTGAAGTCCTCCCTAATAGGTGAGACATTTCTATAGAAAGGATTTCTTCACCCAACCCAGGCCTAAAGGAAATTCACCCCTTGCTGACCACTCCCTTATTGACCAATGGTCTGCGCAAAGCCGTTCTTATTTACTTGTCTATATACGACGCCTGGCTTCCATTGGTCACTAGTGGATAATCGCCGGAGTTATCCTTTATATCCTGACTGTTGAATTATGTATGAAATATGCCTCTTCGGGCTATCAGTACGAGATATCGATGCCAGTTCGGAAAAGAAATAAAATTGCGGACAGATATAGATATCAAATTGGCTGTTTCCCGCTCGATTACAGGACCAATATGTATTATAATTTATACTATAGGAGTTTTATTGCCGATAGATAGCGATTTGATTGATTTCGGATTGGGACTCTGACTAATACATAGTAATGAGTGGGAGACTTGGTTTGAAGATTTATATGCTAGTTGATTCCTTGACGAGGATATTGAATCGCCGAAGTAATTCTCTGTTGATTGACAAAAACAATACCTTCATTCTGAACTCATACCAGAAAAACAAAGAAAAATATATGAATATCATTCCTTGGATCATCTAACACAAGGAAAATCAAAATGGAACAGTAAAAAAGGGATAAGAAATTAAATCTTGAATCAACCAAAATATATTCGATTATTTTTTATCGACCTCTCCGGGAATGTTTACCTTTCATAATCAGAAAAAATTGTACTGAAAAGGTCTATAAAACAATCAGATTTTCTCTACAAAAAATAAATTTTATTCAATATATTCGACTTTCACTTGACTACTGAGTGAAATGGTCTTTTATCCTACGCGAAAAATGTTTGGGAACCAATTCATCTCAGATCGAAAAAAGGATGATTTGAAAGTAGGTAGTATCCAAAATCAAGCTAATTATTGTTGAAGATTTGATTTTGTCACATCGGTAATATTTTTTCTTTTGTAAAAAACAGATTACCGATATTTAGATGCAAACTGAAACAAAAAATTGGTGTTTTAAAATATATATATAAGAACAATGAAATGAAAATACATATTTCACTTCATACAAAAAATAATCTCATGGATAATACATACGACGACTTTTGAATTAACCACTGAAAAAGTATTTCCATGCATGAAGAGATGATTTCATTGATTATATTTCAGTCTAATTGAAGTATGGTTCCATTATGTCCTGATGTTTTTTGACGAAACATTTTTCCTACATACCAGAATACAAACACATTTTTCGATGGACTTTCCACCAACCAAATTGGCGTCATTCTCAACTTGTAGTGAATCTGTTAAGCTTTTTTTATCAATCAAGACGATTGTCGTGAACGCAAGGTTTTAAACGTTGCGTTCACGGTTTTGGAAATTGTCAGTGCTCCACACTTTGAATAATCTCTGTTAAGCTCAACAGTACTGATTTCATGTTTGCATCACATCTTGCGTTCGTTTGAATGAAATACTTTTGAAGGCATCTTTTAAACTTTAATATCACTATATAAAATTTTGAATCGATTCACATTCCCAATCTCATTTGAAACATTTACATTCCAATCTTTTAGTATCTGTTATGAACTCTTCGTTCCAAATATATTTCATGTACCTATTTTGTTGATACCCTTTTTATCAATTTGTTAGCAGATTAGCCATTCCAATTTTTCAAACATTTTTGAATTCTAAATGAAGTGCTGAACAAAAATATAACCTTTTCTGTGAGGAAAATGTCTTAGTTTACCTCTTGAAGCTTCCATTTTACAAAAAAAGGTCAATCTACTGCTGTTCAATTAGGAAGATGAACTGATAAATCTTTCGCGTGAAACAAATTATGAAGTGAAAAGATAATAAATGAATAATAAAACTGATGTGGAATTGGCCGCGGTGGTAGTGCGCCCGACTCACGATCGGAAGACCGTGGGTTCGATTCCTGCCTCGACCAGATATTTTTCTCGAGATAATTTATCTCGTTAGTCCTTAGCTCGCACAAGTTTCTCAACTTCTGAGAGTTGTCGTTCGTATGGCGACAGCTGATTAACGGAAAAACAGATTTGAAACAGATTTGAATGATATGAGAAATGAAATAATAAAATGAGTTATTTCAAGTAAGTGATATTAATGCAATGTTGATCTGATTGATTCGATTGAAAATGGTTTAATTTATTTGAATCTGTATTTCATCAGAAAATTCGAGGATGTGAAATACAGCATCACCTCTTCAATGTTAGATATTGAATGAAAGAAGAAGCAGCAGAAACAGGAGTGTGAAATAATTAGTTCTCTCACGAATATTCTATGTACCGACATTAAGAAAGCGAGACGTTATTCCTATTAGAAACCACTTTCTTGTCAAAATAATTTTGGTATTTTCCAACGAAGCCACTGGAGGAGCCCTGGTGACTGCAGGATGAACTTGATTTGTATCTATAATACCCCACCGTATACCACACCACTTATTCACCTCAATTTCGACAAACTTTCAGCAAATAACACAAGTCAACAATACTTCTCACAAATAGGAGTGACACCATTAGAGGGGTAGAAATGAATATAGCGCATAAACAGCCTTGTTTGTGCAATGCCCGTTATTGCGGCAACTTCTGCATCAATTTTTCTCTCTTTTGTATCGAGGGGGATTTTTATCCAATGCCATAAATATCCACACCGAGACTAACTTAATTTCGGTATTACTTGGGTTAGCCAATCTTATCATTAAATTAGGTGACGGCAATGTGACAAGCTTTGCTCCAGAGAATAAAAAAATGTGATTATTGACGACCTTTGGGCATCTAAAAACAAAGGAAAATCTCATTACATTCCCAGGCGAACTCTGACACAACCTCCGGCTTGTCCTTCGAGTTTGTCACAAGTATAGTCGAATCATTTCGTGTGCGGGGCTCTTCTTGCATTGATGAATCGAATCCTTTTACAGAAATGAAAAGTTTCACAAAAAGTATGTCTGGACTCTCAATGATATAGTATAAAGTTGAAAATACGTACAGTGCAAGTCACAAGAAAAATATATATAGCAAAAAATCTTCGAAATATCAATATCACGTGTGAGACAGTGAATTGAATATTATTTCTGGCAATGTTGCCGCACTGACAGATTTCCAGTAAATAGTTGACCAATTTTTCATTGCAAAGTAATCTGTTATACCTACTTGAAGTTACCCCACTAAATCTTCCTTATGAACATACTTAGATTATTGGTATTTTTCAAACTAATGGGGCTAACATTATTTTCAATGATATTTCCGAAACAAATGTTGAGAAACTAAAGAGGCGAAAGCCTCTCAAAAAGAAATCAAATGTTAGTTGATGACATCAATGAGCACAAGTTCAACTATTAGCTGAAAGAAAATCCATTTGTACCGCA